AAGAGACGCAACACGTGGCCTCGTCCTACCTTTCTTCTCACAAATCGTCTTTTCCCTCGTTTTTCCTTCTTTCGTTATGTACAGAGACGAGTGTATTACACGTAACACGCATTCGTATTCATGTACCTTATTAATCGTGATGTCGCAGTAATCTTTCACCTCGTTTCGTGTTCATTTCTGTTTTTTTATTATTTTTTTTTTCCGTTTCGCGGTTTTTTCTCTCTTTGTTCGTCAGGTGAGCAGAAAAATGTGCCACCGGTACACGACGACGCTGTTCGCTGCTTCTTCACTTTGTATCACACTAAATCTAGCTTAGGGTCCACTGAGGAATGCGATTTTAGACTCGGATTCGTCACGGATCGAGCCTGGACTCTTCTCATCCACAATTGTACCACGATTTTATCGCACGAGTTAATCGGCTACTAATATTGCTACGTTTGTTGCTGCACAGTTGCAGTTGCCGAATTGGTGCGTTGGTTTAGGCTACGTGAACACACGACCGATGGAGTATGGGAACTTTGCGAGCATCGCGTGAAATTTGTACGTTTCCATGGATTCGACGTGGAAAAGAATCGAAGAACTGTTGTATCTTTGTAAATACAGTCTCCCATGGCGAAGAAATTTTTGAAAAATTACACCTATGTTCTCGTTGTCACTGTGATTACCAGAAATATGAATCACATCTAATGTAATCGTGAATCGAAATCATTCGAGAACGTCACTGATATGCTTACACCCAGCCAACGGATTTCCGGTTTCCCGTTTAACTCGTATTTGCTTAGAAAATCTCTTTTTTTGTCACATCTCGCGTGATACGAATGGAGAAGCAATCGGTTTCGCAAACGAGAGTGGCGATGATCGGGGTCGATTAGAAGAGTCCTGGCGTTAGGGACGAGTGTCTCTGCGAGGAACACGAATCCCGGATGTGAAAATGGCGAAAAGGAAGCCGATCGTTCGTATCAGGACGATTAATCTACCAATTACGGGGCACGAGAGTCTTCGGAGATCACGAGTACGATGCTGAAAAATCATCATTAAGGCCGCTATTTCGTGTGTGTGCGCACGATATATCATTTTCTCTCTCTCTTCTCTCATTTTCTTCTCCCTCTCGATTTCACAGGGCAAGTCAGGTTTTCCTTCCCCTCGTGTCGTACCGATTACAATCGCTGCCACGATCGTCTCTATTACGCTCTACTAAAAAAATACACTCCGCCTAACCGCGACGATACGCTATTTACCGAACAGCTTCAAAGGAAGAAGTCACAGTCGCCGGAATGGAACCGCAATTTTCCTCCTCCTCTCGAATTAAGTGCATACAAAAGACAGAACTCTAGGACAGATTGAATTTTCGACACGAATTTGCGTGCGATATAACGCTATCAGAGACTCGACTTTTCCCCAAGAATGAAAGCGACTGTTGACTGCTTTAACATCACACCGTCGTCCACCGCTGTTCGACATTAGTCTCGTCAGACTCGAAGATTCGCGGTCTCTCGACTGGGATTAAAAAGCGCGAATATCGTTGAGCCATCGTAAACTGGTTGGGGGAAAAAGGGTCGCGCGTGTGTGTGTGTGTGTGTGTGTGGAAGGAAAAGGAAATTTCCGAGCTCGTTCAGAAAACCTGTTCGTTGTATCGATGCGAATTTTCCGGATGAAATTCATTGTTTCGTTCGTGGAAAGTTCATCCGTACGTATACGTACGCACCATCGAGTGTTTGTTTTTTGTTACTCTATCTCTGGAATAGCGCCGTGGTTTGTCCCTTAATTAATATTATTCAGCCGCGAGTGCGCACACGGTGAAAAGAAATCTCGAGTGTATTTTTCTTCCTTCTTCTTGCGTCGGATAGAAACAGCGTTAAGGTCTCAAGTCTCGCGAAAAAATGGGTAAATGCTTACGCGTGTCCTTTAGGTACTTAACAGTAGCAGATAGAGATATTAGTTATTCTACCTCTCTCTCTTTCTTCAATTTTGCTCGTTCCAAGGGAGTAACTTAATAATCTCGCTCTCTCCGTTTCTCGCCGCTTAACAACGTAACACTTCCATTATCTTTAACAACAACAGTAACAACATATTCCTCCGATAGCAACGTATTATCGTTAGAATTGCGGTATCCCTTTATTTTACTTTATTTTACTTTATTTTAGTCGGTTCTCTTCTCTTGAAATCCAGCACCCGTGTCTCGTCCTCGAAGCAAAAATCGTGTCTGACTTCTCGAAAAGCCGATAGAAAGTAGCTTAAAAATCGGTGAACAGTACGAACATTATTCGATGCAGATTTTCTCGCGGAATATTTTCTTGCTCCTTTCTTCGTTTCCTGAGCGAACGTCGATTCGAAGGTGTGGTTCGTTTCGTTTCGCCCGAACGCACGAGGAGTCGAGACAAGTGCCTTCCTAGCCGAGTTTCTTCTCGACGTGCGGTGTAAGCCACAACAGCTTCAGCCATAAGAAACCAGCATTCGACGTATTTTTCTTCTTTTTTTTTCTTTTTCAAAATTCAAATTGAACGTGCGAAAATTTTCATTCGACAATAATCAACGTAATTTCGATTGAAAGTTCGAAATTTCTCTCATTTTCACGGTCGACAAACTGTCAAGCTGGTCAGGATCGTTGCGGCGTTTATACAGCAAACGTTTCTTCTCTTAAGTGACAATTACTCGAACGGGAGGAACGAAAGTGAACGAAATTCGCGGCTTACCTTGTGGCTTATACGGTACAATGCGTTCTATTTACAGCGGACGTAGTTTTAGAACATTAATCCTACCTCTGTCGATTTTCCTACACACACAAAATTCTTGGTTTTTTCTGCGGTTGGCTCAAAAGGACTGCCTCCTTTTCAACTACTCCTTACGAGGATAGAGTTTATTTTACCTCTTTATCTTGTCTGCAAAAGTTGCGGAGTGCCAGGACGTCGAACTGGCGCGTTCTCGAAGTATCCAACGATTATAGTAATCAACTTTGTGATTTTAGAAAAATTACTCATTTTGAAGATTTCACGCTTAAAGTACACTGTTTCAGGCACCGTTGCGTATTGTAAAATATTTTTCGCTTCCCAATTTTTCCCTGGTTTCGTATCGATTGAATTTCAAACACAGGACGGGCCAATAATAATTATCACTGTCGATATCTTCGAAATTCGTTTGGTAGAACAGACAAAGTTCGTGAATTTCAGCGAAATGAAAAAATCGTCTAAAAATTTCAACAATTCTCAAAGGACCGTCTGAAGTTTCCTAATTTTACCCGACTTTTAAACTGCTCCGTCGAAGGACTGTAACAAGATGAACATCGCGAGACGATAGAACTTGGAGAAAAGTTACGACGAACCTGATTAGACTTGTGATTAACTTGTTCGTCTAAATTTCGTCGAAGAATTGTTTTCTGCATCGTGAAACTTTCGTTGGGACCAGATTTCCCAGTGAACAGGAAATAAAAAGATACGTAAGGTGATAATCGTAACTAGACCATCCTGCTTTTTATTCTCTCTCGTTAAAAAATTTGGCACGCGACCCCTGACACTCCTCTATGTATTATTTAATCGTTACACCCGGTGAATTTTTATTACGTGTACTTTTTTTTGTTGAGCATATTACGTCCTCGAAGTAGGTTTCTTTTAGAATATTTCATTGTTTTTTTTTTTTTCTTCTTTTAGCACAATATACATACTTAACGTGTAATAGTAGCTCGTGTGTACATTACGTATTAAATATATATATATATATGTATAGTGTATGACATAATCGAATGTCATTAATTACATATATATTATCTCGTATGATACACATTGACATTTTCATACACAAGATGTCAATCGGTTTCTTCATTCTCCTTATTTAATTAATTAATTAATTTTTTTTTTTTTGTAATTTTTATAGCATTTATTTTCTTTCCGCCTTAGCGTTCGTTTTAACGAACGATCGCTGGCTCGAAGATGACGCCCTATTTTTGGAAAACGGGCCGGAATTTCGTACAAAGTTTTAATGAGATTCTCAAAAGATTTAGGAATTTTCAATAACTATCTATTGCATTGTTGCTGCCTGAATATAACTTACGTCATTTTGTTACTTTGAGATTTACCTTGGTTCGTGCTGTTGTGTTCTCTCTAACGATTCCTTCGAGATACTACAAAACCATTGGAATTCGCAGCTTACGTTATCAAATTATCAGGTGTCGTTCGATTACTCGAAGCTTCACATTCAGATTCGCCGATGTTGTCAAATTTTCTCCGATGAAGTTCGCCAATTTTAATTTTAACACACTTTAGGTAAAACAGCGATAGTTACAATTACAAAAATTTCAGTTTCGAACGGTTTCGCAAACTTGCAAAATCGAAGGACACCTTTGCTAGACAAAAAATCTTGCGGCTAGTATTCCAATATATCGGAATACTCCGCGATCGACGAACAAAATACGTTTCACACGCTTCGAACACATCCAATATTCCATACTCAACTGTTCCAACCGATCTTCACGCGACACACCTGTTTCACGAAGAGCCACACGGAGCACTTCTTCCGTGAATTTTCATATCTCTCCCGGAAAAAAAGTCCCACTCGAGTAGAGAAACGTACTCTCGCCGAACAGTTGATGAAACTTCGAAAAAAGCGTGTTCGTCCAAGCATCACGTGATTCGGACGCAATCACAACGCGAGCACCGCGCACTTCCGGTTCCACCGTGACGAACAACGGGGTCCAGAAATGTGGTCGTGGAATGTGTTCGTTCATCTGGAAGTGAACGATCCGTAGTATTTTCACGGTTCATCTTGATAGGCACTGAACGTTCTTTCCTGTGCACCAAACTTGTGTTTCATCTCTCAAGTGTTCAGTCGTTGGACTCGAAACGGCACGGTTTCGAGGGATGTTCATATCGAGGGGGGGAGAGCCTCGACGAGAGGCTACGAGGCAAGAACTCGTTGTCGAAAATGGCGGCAGAGAGCCGCACACCGCTCCCTGGGGACTCTTATGGTCGAGCTGACGAGGCTGGGCATTCGTGGCCGGTACTCTACGATCACAGAACTGTCTCCATTTCGGCTATTTCCGTCCTGGTGGCAGCGTCATCCGGGATCCTGTATCGAGCGATTTAATTAAGTCGGTTAGATTGGGAAAATTAATTGCACAGCAGGTGTTGCAATAAAGTCTCGGGAATAATTTCGTTTTGACAATTTGGGGGAATGGGGATTTCGTATGAATCTTTATAATGAGCGACTGAGTTTCGAGTGCTCTGAAAATTTTAGATTGAAAATTCGTGGAAAAGGGAATGTCGTATGAATTTTTATAGCGAATGACTGAGTTTCGTGTGTTTTGAAAATTTATGGGAATGGGAATTTTCTATGAGTCTTTATAGCGAATGAGTGAGTTTCGAGTGCTCTGAAAATTTTAGATTGAAAATTCGTGGAAAAGGGAATGTCGTATGAATTTTTATAGCGAATGACTGAGTTTCGTGTGTTTTGAAAATTTATGGGAATGGGAATTTTCTATGAGTCTTTATAGCGAATGAGTGAGTTTCGAGTGTTCTGAAAATTTTAGATTGAAAACTCGTGGAAAAGGGAATGTCGTATGAATTTTTATAGCGAATGACTGAGTTTCGTGTGTTTTGAAAATTTGTGAGAACAGAAATTTCCTATGAATTTATATAGCGAATGACTGAGTTTCGAGTGTTCCCAGAATTATCTATAAATCTTTATAGCGAATGACTGAGTTTCGAATCTTAATGGTCACATACACGTCGAGTTCTGTATCGATACAGTTTGCAAATATGAGTATCCAAACATAAATCGTGGCCATTAAATACTCCCAAAAATATTGGCGATACGAACAAGTGTTGCTAAAAAGAATTGAAGTAATATACGGTGCACAGTTGGCAGTGTAATTTAATTTGTTACACATCTACAAAGTTCTTTATCGTCAGAAAAGTTCTTCTGCAAGGATTTCGTTCAATCTCTCTCCACGAAATTGGAATGTTTGGAAAGGACTACGTATGGGTGGGCTATTTTGCGCGGTATTTGTATTTAATGCTGGAGAACGCTAGGAATTTTATGAAAGGACCGGCTTATCCGCTCGGCTATTAACATAACCGAAAGTTTCTACGTAAATACTCGACGAAGGCATCCTTCGCCTGACTAGGCGTGTTTTATATTTTTATAGGGAATTCAGGGAATGTTTGAGGGGATCGCTGGTGTATTAAATTCAGATGACATCGAGTGAGGTGAATTTCAGAATGATTTAAAAAGCCAGTCAACTTTCTTTCAGATAAAAACGTATAAATTCCAAGTATTATCAACTGTCACATCTAAATATTGCAATCTTGTTCTTTTTCTCATTTTTAAGTAGAACCACGAAATTCACATTTATCTCGATTTAAATACGACTGAACATTTACCTGTAGATCTCTGGGGGCAAAAATTTGTTCGAATACTCCGTACTGACCACGTGATTCCTGGTCATGTCTCTTGGCCTGGCGACGTCGATGGCGTCTATGAACCTAGATCCAATAGAAGCCCTATGTAACAATGTCAAGAGAAAAAGAATTCATCGTGTACTCCCTATGGACAGATAGATAAACAAATGTGTACAGAGCGTGTCACCTAATATCAGAATATCAAATATTCCCCTCGATCCAGATTCCAAGAAATATCCTTCAATACGACACACATTCGATAACGATCCACAACATCAAAAATTAAAAACAAAAAGACACTTTTTCTATCAAATATTTTTTCTTCAGAAAGATCGATCAGATTTAGACAGAGTTTTGTTATCGTTTCACACGGAGCAACGAATTTTTATCGTCAGATGGTCAAATTCAACTATACCTCGTTGCTCCTTCGATCGAGAAAGTTTAATCCTCCCGAGGAGAATTTCACTTGCGGCCAAGTTATAATTTAACGTTTAGGCCAGGCCTGTGTGTGCGAGGCGTCGGTGTGTCCGGAATGGGATACGAGCGAAAATAGCATAGTTTGTAACACAAGGACACGGTATAATGCAGTTTATAATACACGAACATGATGTAACGCTGTTTATAGTAGGGGAACAGTTACAGTTTCGCGAACCAGGTCAATACGAGGGGCGCGTCCAGTTTAGGCGACTTCCAGAAACCTCCGCAGATTCGTTTTGCAAGGGAAATTTGTTCAGATTCGAGGAGAATGCCAACAGCGTTTTTTTTTTTTAGTCAAGGTTCTTACAGACCGTGGCATGACAGATGCCTCCCGGCAATTCTGGAGATTTCATTTTTAAACTGTCTGCAGTCTCACTCGCGAAAGGAAGAAGTTTACTCGTTAAACGAATATTCTTCTTTCTAGAAAAAATTCCGTTTCGGGATATTAATTTTTACACTTACCAAGTGAAATTCTGTAATTAGAAAATTTATGGAAAATTCATTTCTGCTAAATCTCAACATCTCTGTATCACGATTCGATACTATTAAAGTGTTATTTTACGATGTAATTGGCTTTCTTCGAATAATTTGAAAAATTGCCGGCCACTGTTCTCACCATTGAAAAATCGATGCTTTTATCATCGAGACCAAACATCTCTTCCCGTGGCCAGTTTCCCGCGCTGTCACGGACCGAGGGAAATACGCCAGATTCTATCGTTGGGCGACACACTCCGTACAAATGACTCGATCGCTGTACTACATTCTTTTCCTGTGTATCCCTAATTCACAGCAATTTCCACGACCAAGGATAGATCGCTCTCCTGCACATCTCTCCTGTCGCCATCGTGGACAATTTATCGTTCCGCTATGCACTCTCGATAAAGTCGCCACGAGTTAATCGAGAATTTCAACTCGCATGCCATGCTTCCGAGCACGTGAAAAGTGGGCAGGTCGATACGATACGAAAACACGAGTTCGAAAAGAGAATAAAAAAGATAGATAGTAGATATGTGTATACGTGAGAGAACGAGACCAAAGAAAATTTGGAAAAAAAAAAACGAAAGAAAAAATCGTACGAGATAATATATAAAAATAGAGAAGAAGAATAGTTCGAGTGCGTGTATGCAGACGTTCTAAACTACCAAGCGAAGCGGCTGTTCTACTTCTACCCTTATCCTCTCAAACTTTTATACCGTTATCATC